TCTCTCCCTCTCTCTCTGTCTCTCTGTGTCTCTGTCTCTCTCTCTCTCCCCCTCTCTCCAATATCCAGTCATTTGCCAAGCCTTGCTATTTCTGTTTTCATAATTTCTCATATATATATATATATATCTCCCCTTCTCTCCTTTGACACTGTCACTACCCAGGTCTAACTCCTCATTGCCTCACACTTGGATTATTCCAATATCCTGTTGTTTGGCCTCTCCACCTCAAGTCTCTCTCCACTTTAGTTCATTCTCCACTCAGCTGTCAAATCAGTCTTCCTAAATCACAAGTCTGACTATGTTACCCTCCTAGTCAATAAACTCCAGTGGCTGCTATTGCCTCCAGAATCAAAAATAAAACCCTCTGTTTGACTTTTAAAGACATTTATGACCTCACCCCTCTTCAGGTCTTCTTATACCTTACTTCTCTCCCTGTCCACTCCCCTCCACCATCCAGGCGACCATCAGACAAACACTCTGTGATTTAGAGATACTTCTGGTCTTTGCACATAAAACTGCATCTCTTGACTCTTAAGTGTTTTCCCTGGCTGTCCTCCAGGCCTAGACTGCTCTCCTTCCTCATCTCTATACGCTGCTTTCTCTGGCTTCCCTTAAGACTCAGTTTAAATTCCACCTATTTCAAGGAGCCTTTCCTGATCCCGCTTAATGTTAGTGCCTTCCCTCAGAGGATTATCTCCAACTTGTTCAGCCTTTGTCTTGTCCACATCTAGATACTCTCTTCTCTCTAGGTTTTCAGGACACCACCCTCTCCTGATTCTCTTACTCATCTAACTGTTCCTTATCTATCTCCTTTGCTGGATCCTCCAACAGATCACAGCCTCTAATCTCAGGGTTTTGTCCTTCTCTTGTGGCTATCCTACTTTACTTGGTGATCTCATCAGCTCCCTTAGATTTAATTGCCATCTCTATGCTGATGATTTTCAAATCTGTCAAAATCTCACCCCAAACTCTCTGTTGACCTCCAATCTTACAACTCCAACTACCGTTTAGGCATCTCCAACTGGATGTCTAAAATGCAATTTATTTTTTCCTCTAAACTTTCCCCCTCCCAACTCCCCTATGACTACAGAGGGCAATACCATCGCAGTCCCTCAGGCTCCCAATCTAGGAGTCATCCTGGACTCCTCACTATGTCTCAACCCTCTCCCCCCATATCCAAGCTGTTGCTAACTTCAGGGAGGTGATGGCCATGACGTGCAAGTGAATCGGATTCAGTACCACTGGCCTCCTGAATGATCCACGAATGGGACACTCCATCTTTCCAATGAAGGCATTTTCATTGTCTGTCCCCCATGCCTGGAATACTCCCTTCTCCACTCCACTCACCAGCCTCTATGGCTTCTTTCCTTTAAGTCCCAATTAAAATCCCACCTTCTAAACAGAGACCTTCTCAACTTCTCTTAATTCCAACGCCTTCCCTCTTTTAATTATTTCCTATTTATCCTGTATATAGCTTGCTTTGTATATACTTGTTTGCACCTTGTCTCCCTGATTAGAATGTAAGCCCCTTGAAGGCAGGGACTGTCTTTTGCCTCTCTTTGAATCCCTGGCACTTAGCACTCAGTAGATGCTTCATCAATCCTTTTGGCCCGACTAATGTTCCTTCCCTTTACCTCTTGGAACCCCTTGACCCTTTAAAAGCTCCACTCAAATGCCACTTTCTTCAAAGGACCTTTTTCAAAACCCTTCACCAATCACTTTGTATTTATCTCGCATATCCACATGTTTACTTTGTTTGACTTTTGTTTCTGTCTGCCCAGGGCCTAGCATCACACAAGGAACATAGAAGTACATGGCTGCAATATAATAAATTCTTCTTGGTTGAACTCTAAGGCTCTGTCCTCAGAGTCAATGTTTCTTCCAGTGTTCTAATGGGTGGGATTAGGGATTAGGTAAGGAGGAATGGGATGCCTTCAGATCCAAGAAAATTATAGAAATGTAGCAGCTGTCCTGGGTGCTCAAAAGAATGTGGACACCACTGTCAGGTATCAAGAAGGGAAGAGAAAGGAGAAATTATGGTCAGAGAAAGGGAGGAACTGTCATAATATTTTTAAAGTAAAACCTTGAAGAAATAAAACTCATTTTATTACAACCTTATAGTATGGGGCTTTTTCCCTCTTTTTTTTTTGCAGGGGAGGATGTCTTTTAGCAATGTACAAAATGGATTACTTTTTTACCTTAGGAAATTTGAAGGTCTTCTATGTTTACTCTTCCTGGAGCAATAAATTACCACAGGGAGCTGAAGGGGTTCTGGAGAACAAAAACCAGAATGGTGGAATTGGAAGGGCCTTTAAGACACAGAATGTCAGAGCTGGGACAGATCTTAGAACATAGAACATCAGAGCCGAGAAGTTCCTTAGAAGATAGAACATCAGAGGTGAGAGGGACCTTTTTACATTGAATCTCGGTGCTGCAAAGACCTTAGACTATAGAATGTTCGAAAATGAAGAAGCCTCAGAACACAGAATTTTGGATCTGGGAGGGACTTTAGAACATAGAATGTCAGAGCTGCAATGAAGCTTAGAACAGAGCATGGAAGAGCTGGGGGCTAGGGAAGACTTTATAACACAGAATGTCAGAACTAACAAGAACGTTAGGGCATTGCATGCCAGTGCTGAAAGGGACCTTCGCTATCATATTGTTCAACCCCTTCATTTTACGGATAAGGAAACAGATCTAGAGAAGAGAAATAAGTTACTCAAAGTTACATAGCTACCAGGACTAGAACCCTTGTCTTCTGGTCCTTCCCCTACTTCTGAATTCTTCTCAAGATATAGTAATTAGTAAAAGTTTCTACATTGGCTGCAGAGGAGATAGAGAAGGAAGAAGGCTTAGTATTCAGCATGAGTTCCTATTTTAATAATATTTAACAGATTAGAAAAAGACCACTTTGAACACAACCTGTAAGGAAAGTGGTTTGAGAATTACTCCCATTTCACAGATTCACTCATTCATTTTTTCTTACCTTCACACATTCCACAAATATTTACCAAGCACTCTCGCTGTAAGCAGGGGCTCGTGACGGTAGAGATTTTGTCTAAAGTTCTTGTCATTAGGGACCCTAGTAGGGAGTCTCTAACCAAATACAAATTAGGTGGAAGGAGTAAAGTTAACAGAGGGGGTTTCCCGGAGTTTTCCTGGAGGATGTCGAATTTAAGGAAACTGGGAAAACTCAAAATGGTTATAGAATCAAAGGATTTAGAACAGAAAGAGACTTAGGAGAAGTGGTCGAACAATCCTCCCTCCACCCTTCATTTTACAGACGAGAAAACTGAGGCTCAAATAGGGGAGGTATTACCAAATACCACAGGACTGGTAAGTGACAGAGCTTGGATTCAAACTCAGGCCTCTTGATCCCCCCCCCCCTCGGCAGACTCCTTCACAGGTGTCTCAGTCCTTACTAAATGATGGCCAAGGACACAGCTGCCAAACCAGCAACTATTTCCTTTGGGAGTAGGGGAGGGGGCTAAGTGGGGGTAGAAATGGGCCAACCTGAGTGTGAGTGATCTGTGCAGAGTAAAATGCAGAGTCACCTCCACTCAGCTGGGCCAGTCTTTAGGGGAGCCCCTGAGAGCCCTTACAAGAGGTACACACGAGCTGGCTTATTCAGGGGGCTGCCAAAGTAGTCCTTACCTCCTCAGACTTTTCTGAAACTCAAGTTAAACAATCTATGTAAAGTTCTTTGAAAAACTAAAATCATTCTTGAGGTTATTACTTTTTCAAAATAGATCTCTGTCGATATCTGTTGTTTTGACGTTGCCTAGATCTTCCCTCCACCCCCACCCCATCACTATAACAAAGATGTGATTGTTTTTTATCAGTATGCTTTAACATTTGATTAAACTATAAAGCAGCAAAAGCACCCAGAAGTCTCTTGTTCAGACTTCAGATCTCTCTCTAAATCTCCAGTTTGGGGATAGTTGTTTCAAACCAGGGATTTGATTTTATAAACATGCTAATTAAGATGGTTTTGCACCAGTTCTTTAATAAGTAAGTTCAGTCTTCTAGTTCCCCAGAGCTATAATTGCCCTCCCTCTCACTCCCCCCATTATCTCTAATTTCCATATAGTATCCCTCAACGAATTTAAACTCCTAGGGGGCAGGGGCCCTTTCACTCCCTCTCTCATTATCATGTACAAGCCTATTTCCATATAGTATCCCCCATCAAAATGTAAACTCCTAGAGGGCCCAGCTGGTTTTCCTTTGGTCTTTGTAGCACTTGGCTTTTGTTATTTTTCGGTCCTGTCTTATTCTTCCTGACCACGGAGTTTTCTTGGCAAAGATACTAGAGTGGTTTGCTATTTCCTTCTCCAGTGTGTCTCCATTTTACAGATGAGGAATTGAGGCAAATACGGATTAAGGAACTTGCCCAGGGTTACACTGTAAATGTCTGAGGTCGAATTTGAACTCAGATCTTCCAGACTCCAGGCCCGGTGCACTACCCACTGCACCCCCTAGCAGCCCGAATGGGTGTTTAGCAGACACCTAATACTGTAAATGTAGAGTGCCTCGGTGGGGGGCTGAGAAGATCAGGCCCTGGGAAGCTCAAATGGAGGGTGGTCTGGTTCACTGTTCCAGGAGATTCCTGGAGGGTCGTAGCAGCTGCCTTAGGGCGCAGCCTGAGCTCTGAGGAGGACTCTTCCTTTGGCCCCAAGACTGGGAATGGGATTCTTCGAACTCGGACACCAGGGTACTTTTCTCTCCCGTGGAAGAATAGGACTGTGGTGTGGCTGGCTTGTCCTCTTGATCCCGGCATCGGACCGCTCCTCGGCGCTTGGGGCAAAGCCCCCAGGCACCAGGTGAAGGAGGGACAAAAGGGCCCAGGAAGTGGAAGCGTCGGCCCAGGAGCTCTGGGCATTTTAAGAGATCCGGGAGCCGTGGGCATCGCCGAAGGTCAGGCTAGTGCCCCGGGGCGGGGACGGGGGCAGGACTCGTTGATTGGCAGGGGGCGGACCTGCGAGGCAGGTCCTTAAGAAGGGAGGAGGAGGCGCAGGAGGGAAAGTCGAGAAAAAGACCGAAGGGAGGCGGGGTAGGGAAGCACACACACGCGCACACGCAGACACACACACACACACACACACACACACACACGCGCGCGCGCGCGCGCACACACACACACACACACACACACACACACATACAAGTAGGGGAGAAAAAAAGAAAGAAAGAAAGCAGGCGGGCAGAGAGCTCTTTGCCGGCTCCGCCGCCTGGCGCTTTGCTTTCCCTTGCGTTTCATTCAAAGCCTAGCGCTGCTCCAGCCGCCCCAGCTCTGCTCGGTTCCGGGCCATGGCCAAAGGCGAGGGCGCAGAGAGCGGTTCAGCCACCGGGCTGCTACCCCCGGGCATCCTTCGGGGCGAGGAGAACGGGCGGACTCAGGTGAGAAGGGCGCAGTGGGGAAGTAGGATGGTGTTGAGGTGCTGGGGCAAGGATGGCGGCGGCTCAGGGTTGGAGGATTACAGGTCCGGGGGATGGCAAATAGCTAGAGGGGTAGAGTGGCATGTGGGGGCAGTTGTGGGGGGCACATTGGGGAAGGGGGGGCATACAAGGAACAAAGAGGAGGTGAGCCTGGAGGCCTGAGGCTGGAGGATGGAGAGCCCAGGATCTGGGGGACAGAATCACGGGACACTGAGCTGAGAGAATTGGGGACGCACAGTGAGGGAGGGGCAGAGATGTATTTAGTTAGGAAAAAGGGGAGCAGGTGGTGGTGGCTGTGGATCCGGGGAAGAGTATATGTAGCGGGGCGGAATAAATTTAGGGTAGATGGTAACGGGGAGGGGAAGGGTTCAGGGAAAGGGGATCAGCTTGAGCTTGAGGGGCTGCTGTGGAAGGGGGGAGTACAGGTGGAAAGCATAAGGCTGGAGTTGGGGAGGATGATAAGGAAGTGGGGGGTGGGGATAGACTTCTGGGACGCTAAAGGGCTGGAGGAGGAGGTCTCGGGACTGGGGCACAGAGTTAGAGAGGCGAGAGCGTGACACTTAGGGCCAGGATGGGGAGGAAGGCAGGTTCCATTTCGGGGCCAGGGATGCAGAGAAGAGTCCTTAGCTTTTCGGTGGACTGCTTGGGGGAAGGGGTCGGATGTGGGTCGTTTCAGTGGACGATTAACTGGGACACTGGGCAGGCAGAGTAAGCAAAGAGTTGGGGTTGGAGGGTGGTTACAGTCCTACCCAAAAGGAAAGTAGATGGGTCCGGCGGGGAACTTGTGTACTCTGGAGGCTCAGGGTTGAGCGGGGTACTGGGGGAAGAGGGTGTAGATATATGGTGGCGTCAGGTTGGGGGTACAGGTTTAGCTCCAGCTCAGGTGGGGTGGAGGGCGGGAGCTGGCGAGCAACCCCACCCCACCCCCTTCCTCTCCCTTCTCGGGTAGCTTGGCTCGCCGGCTTCCAGCTCCACGTGGTAGTGAGTGACTCCGCTACCTCATCCGGCCCGGCTTCCCGGCTCCCGAAGCCCTGTAGCCATGAACTGGGCGTCTAGAACCCAGAATCGAAACTCCAGGACCTGGGACCTGGCCTTCCCTTCTCAGCCCTGTTTTACCCTCAAGTTCATTCATAAGGACAGAGGCTCCGTTCTTAAAAGGGACAAGGCTGAGTCGTGCCGAGCTGGGCAGAATAGAACGAAGGAGATGAAGGGGAAGTCTTAACTTTGTGCGCCGCCCTGGTTCCCCTGCTCCATCTGGAGGGGGGTGGGGGTGCTCAGAGGCTGCTCCGGCTCTTGCCTCCTCATATCTGTGTCCTGGGAAAGTCGTAGAGTTTCAGGGTCCGGACCGTTGGGACGCACAGTCCTGTCCATTCCAGGTGGCTGGGACGCACAGTCCAAAGCAACTCAGCTCAGACCCCGAGGTTACCTCGTCCTGCCTCCTGTCCCCCCTCTCTTGCCGGGGCTGGGTGGTGCCCCCACCACTCCCTGTCCCCGCCCATTCCTGGGGCTCTCGAATTAATTTTAGAAGCTAGGGCTAGGCCGGGCATCTGTCTCTTGTCTGCCCCCTGCGGCCCTCCCCAGCCCCTTCCCCCCTCCCTTCTCCGAGCTGCTTGGAGCCTAAGTTTGCCGGGGAAGGGGATCTTGGCCAGGACTGCTGTCCGCCCCCCGCCCCAACTGCTTGGGAGGCCTGGCAGGGAAGCTGGGCCTGGAATCCTGAGATGACTGTCTTTACCTTTTAATTTTATTAATTGTTCCTCTGAAGGGTCTCCCACCTCAGCTATTAATCCGCTCACGATGAGTAATCCTAGTTTTCTGCCCCTGTGGTCTCGCCTCAACATGCCATTCCATCACCTCCCCCCCAACCCCCCCCACCTTTCAGAGCTCAGGGTTGGAAGAGACCTTGTAGAAGGTAGACGATGATTTCGGGTTTATGAAGTGCCCACTGTGTGCCAAAACCTGGGAAAGAGTTTAGTCAAGTCGTCTCTGCCCTCCTGTAATTAAATTGGAGGCCATTCAGTTCATTTTCAGAGGCGGAAACTGACGGCCAGGGATAGGAAGTAGCCTACCCACCAACCAGAATGAAAGCTGGTGGCTTCAGAATTCAGGGTTTGGGTTTCCAGCCTTTGAGTCCTCTTTCGTGGGGGGGGGGGAGAAGCAGGTTGAAGGAGGAAGAGCCCAATGTCATTCAGTTCAACAAGTATATATTAAGTGCCCACTAAGGATAGTGGACAGCCATAGTTTAGATGAGACCAAGCCTTTGCCTTCATAGAAATCCTAGCAGAGAAGCCTAATCTTTCTGAGGGCAACCAGGAGATCTCAAGGTAGCTTGTGGGGCTGAGCTAGGGCTCCTAGAGTTGGGAATAGTTCTTAATGACCACTTAGGATGGACTAGAGAACATTGTGCATCCGAGCTCCGGGGCTTTCCACCCTCCCCCACTCTCAGTGAAGTCCCTGGGGCCTGGAGGTTCCTGGAGGCTTGGGGTAGATTTGCCTTCTTGGGCACTAGCCCAACCCCCACCCCTCACTAGGGGCTATGGAGACCTTGACCGACCAGATGGAATGAAGCAGCTGTAAGCCTAGGCTTAGAAGGGCTGAGGCCCTGGGCTAGGCTTCCCTTCAGCCCTTATAGACAGGTCTATTCAACGTGAGTGGGACCTGGTCCTGGGTGGGGTTGGGCCCAGGTCCCAGATGCCTTGGAGAGGATTTTCAGGTTGTGGCAAAGGGACTGGTTGGGCTGCTGGAACCTGCTCTGTTTTCCTTATCCCATAGAGTGTCTTCCTCCAGCTAAATCCTTTCTTTGGTCTGGGGGTGGGGAGTGGAGGGAGAAGAACCCATAGGTTAAACCAAAAGTTGAAGGCCCTGCTTAGGAGTGGGGATAAGCAAAAATCACAGCCTTTCCTTCCTACCTCTTTTCCTTTTATTTGCCATTCCTCTTCTCCCTGCCCCCAATCTCTAGAAGTGAACATTTCTTTCCTTGTTTCTCCTCAAAGTGAGGAGTGTCCTGGCTGTGAGTGGGAGAAGGGAGGGGATGGAAAACCAGGGAGCCTGCTGGACTGGGGGAGGGACCGTACAAAGGGAGCTTGCTGGCCCTGGGAGAGGGGGCACTGGGAATGTAGGGTCTGATGGGGACTTGCTGGACAAACCCCATTGAACTGCTTTCTGTCCCTACAGAAGGTTGGGATCAAGAAGCTGACCATCTGCAGTAAGGTCTGCTATGCTGTGGGGGGCGCTCCCTACCAGATCACTGGCTGTGCTTTGGGCTTTTTCCTTCAGATCTACCTGCTCGACGTGGCTCAGGTGAGTGCTGCTGGCTCGGAGTTGTCTTGGGTACTACGTATGCTAAAGGGAGGACCTAGCCTCCCCTTTCCCTTTCCCCATTCCTTTCCTCTGAAGATTAGAGAGTTGGGAGGCACCTGAGATCATAGTGTGTTAAAGCTGGGAAGGACCTGGGAACACAGGGTGTTAGAGCGGGGAACAGCTTTAGAATATAGAATGTCAGAGCTAGGAGGGGCCATGGACCTAGATTGTCTAAGATGTTACAGGCCTACTGCCAGATGGAGCATTGAGGACCAAAGACCTTATGTGAGCTGCCTAAGGTCATAAAGCCAGCCAATGACAGCTCTTCCTTTCAAAATTATGTCTATAATGCTTTAAGATTGTAAAGAGGTATATATATGCTGTCACATTTGATCCTCAGAACAACCTTGGGAGGTAGATGCTGTTATTACCTCCATTTTAAAGAGAAGGAAACAGAGGCTGAGAAGGGTTAAGTGACTTGCTCAGAGTCACATAGCTGGTTAGTATCTGAGGGAGGATTCAAACCTAGGTCTTTCTGAGTCCTAGATGCTTGGCAATTGGAAGACCCTATTCCTGGCCCTGGGTTATACTTGTTCCAAAGGCAGGCACAGATGAAGATGGGAGTGGAGGTGGAGAGAGGATGGGATGAGTAAGAATGGTTCCTCCCTCCCATTGCCATTAGTGAAAGGAAGCAAGAGGTGTCAGGGAGTAGGGATAAGTATGGACCTGATGAGGAGGGGTCAGCAGAGGGAAGCCTGCCATTGGCAGTGGTTGATCAGTTTGTTCCAAGAAGAGATGGGCACACTGTGTCCCTGGCTTGGGGGCAAGCAGGGGCCTTGGCATGAGGTTTTCAGGGAGTGGCTGTTAGCTGATGGAGAGGAGTGAGTCTGACCCCTTTCTCCCAACTGGAGGTGGGGGTTAGGAGGCTGGGAAGTGGAGCACTGAAACTCTGAGAGGGCAGCAGTGCCCAAGCCCATCCGAGCTGCGTTTGGTGCCAGGCCCAACCTAGCCCATCCTCCATGCTTTTGGCAGGGGTACTGCCTCTTCTGGGAATACTTTGCTTATTCTTCTGAGGAAAGGCAGAATGTGAGACTGAATTGATTTCCCCAGAAGGTGATGGGATATTGCCTGAGGGTTGACTGATCCTTTTTTCCCAAGCAGAGGAAGCCAGAGGGACCTCTCTGCTTCAAAAACCCAGCTGAAGGGACAGATAACTTATTCTAAAAAGTTCTTTCTTCTCAGTGGCTCTTGGGTCTGTGTGTCAGATGGGAAACTGAGGCAGAGAAAGAAAGATGAAGGAAGGAAGGCTGAAGTGGATTCAACAAAGATTTATTGAACCCCTAGGGAAGGACAAATAGAGAGATTAAGTCCTGCTCTCAGGGAGTTCATAGCCCAACAATTCAATTTCGCACATCAGGTGGCAATCAGATGTTCACACAATCTAGAGAAAGGCTAGGCTGAGCCTTGACCAGAGACCTCCACAGCAAGAGGTAGGAGAGGGAGGGGTTCATGACAACTCCATTTGCTATGATGATTTAACATTTACAGAGTGTTGTTTTTTTTCCTCCATAGGCCTTGGATAGGATTATTAGTCCAGTTCTAAAAGTGAAGAAAGCTGAGATTCTGTGAGGAAAAATGCTTGGCTCAGGGTCACACAGCTGTAAGGGTCAGATCCAGAATGACCCCCCCCATCCCCCAGGACTTCTGCCTCCTAGTCTGCTGCTCTTTCTACTATGACTTAGCCAGTATTTATTAAACACCTTCTTAGAAGGCAAGCACTGTGCTACTCCCTGGGTATACAAAGGCAAAACAGAAGCAGCCTTTAATCTCTTGCATGCTATCTGGGGAAACAATCAGTTTGATATAAAGTAAATGCCAGATATATGCAAACTAACTTAAGGAAAAGGTACTAGCAGCTGGTGGGAAGAGCAGGGAAGACCTCCTGTAGGAGGTGGCATTGGAAATGAGCTTTGGAAGCATTCTTTGGGTGGCTAGGTGGTGCAGTGGAAGGACAAACTACCTCCACCACCACCACCACCACCACCACCCTGGTGCATTTGATTGAGCACTGGAACCCAGCATCAGGAAGACTCACCTTCCTGAGTTCAAATCCATCCTCAGATACTTACTAGCTGTGTGACCCTGGGCAAGTCACTTAACCCTGTTTGCCTCAGTTTCCTCCTCTTTAAAACGAACTGGAGAAGGAAACAGCAATCCACTCCAGCATCTCTGCCAAGAAAACCCCAAATGGGGTCACAAAGAGTTGGAAATGACTGAAAATAACAAGGATTCTTGGGGTGGAATGAGAACTCCATCAAATTATATCTCCTTCCTGGGAAGCTTAGAGCTGACACTTTAAAGGGCAGATAAGGCTTTGCCAGAGAAGGATGAGAGGAAGAATTACAAGCCTAGGGAATATCAGTGTGAGTGCAGAGATGGGGAAGTATAGGGATTTTGTAGAGGGGACAGAGTTTGGGTTGGAATGTTACCTTAACTTTTGAAGAGTGAGAGAATAATGGTAGTAATAATGACAGTGAACAGTAACTACTTTAGGGTTTGTAAAATATCTTACAAATATTATTTTATTTGATCCTCATAACAGCCCTGGGAAGTAGGAGCTATTATTATTCCCATTCTACAGAATGGGGATATACCCTCTACTGAGGCTGAAGAGGTTGGGATTGTCTTGGGTCACACAGCTGATAAAGCGTGTGAAGTAGCATTTAAACTCAGGTCTTCCTAATTCCAGATTTAGTACTCTATTCATGGGGCAGCTAGATGGTGAAGTGGATGGAGTACTGGCCCTGGATTCAGGAGGACCTGAGTTCAAATCCGACCTCAGACACATAATGCTTACTAGCTGTGTGACCCTGGGCAAGTCACTTAACCCCTAAAACAAACAAACAAAAAGTACTCTATTCATTGTGCTATCTTGTCCAGCTGTGTCCAACTCTTGGCAAAGATACTGAGTGGTTTGTCATTTCCTTCTCCAGCTCATTTTACAGATGAGGAACTGAGGCAAACAGGGTCACACAGCTAATAAATAAACAAACTAGCAAATTTAAACTTAGGAAGAGAATTCTTCCTGACTGCAGGCCTGGTATTCTATCCACCGAGCCAACTTGCTGTCCCCTCTGTGCAACCTAGCTAATGCCAAAAAAGGCTAGAAGGATAGAGTAGTACTCCCTCCCTCCTGCTCCTTCCCCATCCACTGGGAAGGCAAGCAATATGATATGAAGTCGTGCACAACATCATTCTGTATTAGCCATGTTACAAAAAATGAAACACACAAAAAAGCAAGAAAAATAAAGTGGAAAAAAAAATGTGCTTCAGTCTGCATTCAGAGTTCATCAGCTCTCTGGAGGTGGATAGCATTTTTCATCATGGATCTTTGCAATTACAAAGACCTGATTTCAGATCCCACCCACTATCCCCCACAGGCAGGTCCCACTTCCCATCCCCCTAGGCAGGTCCCTTAATCTCTGAGTGCCATAACCAGTTCCTTCATTTTCTTCTGTTGTCCCAATCAGTGGAATGGTGAGGGGCTGGTGGAAGGAGGGAATTCTCACACTTGTGATGGAGAGAATTCCTCTACCCATGAGAGAATCCCCACATCAGGAGTTCTCTCATGCTTTCAATGAAGCGTAAGAAATGGTTACTACCATGCTGGAAAGTGGGAAAGAGAAAAACCAAGTCATAATTGGTATAATTATAACCAGTAAAAGCTCTCATTTCTGTAACAGGGTTTTCTTAAGGATTCTTTTTTTTTTTTTTTAAGGTTTTCAGCCGTGTAATGGAGGGAGGGGGTAGTAGAAGTATTTTTTTCCCATTTTTTCAGATGAAGAAACTCAGGCTCAAAGAAGGAAGTGAGTTACCCAAGGTCACATAGCTAACTAGGGCTTGAAATCATGACTTCAGGCCAGGACTGTCCTCTACATCCCAGTAGGGTTAGGTCCAGGCCAGGAGAGCTATAAGAGGACAAAGAAGGAAGAGATCACTGAGCTTCCTGGGAGGGTTTTCTGGAAAAGGCGGAACTTGAGTGTGTTGTTTGTTGAAGGGCAGATGTGATCTTAGATAGTGATAAAGAGGGGGGTTAAGCCTGAGAGCCAAAGCCTCCGGTTAGTGTGTGTGGGGTGGGGTGGGGGAGGTAGCATAGCGTGGTGTATGTATGGCGTATGTGCTCAGACAGTGAGGACCAGTCAGCCTGGCTGAAGTACAAGGTATCATTTGTATTTTCATTGAAGAGTTGACAAGCTTTTCTTAAGCAGTTCTATGGCCTAGGACTCAGGGGTGGGGAACCTGTGGCCCTCTAGGCCCTCAAGTGTGGCCCTCTATATCCTCAAGTGCAGCCCTTTTACTGAATCCAGGGCCACACTTGAGGGCCTTAAGGCCACAGGTTCCCTACCCCTGGGTGCATTGTATTCTCCTTAGAAAGACAGCTAAGGTGGGACCAAGTCATAGAGAACTTCGAATACCAGGCAGTGGGGAGCTATTGAAGATTTTTTTAGTGGGGGAGTTGATGAGTTCTAAGTTCTTCTTTAGTAAGGTTTACCCTAGTTCATAAGCCCTACTGCTTTGGAGTAGAGAAACCAGTTAGAAGGCCATGGAGGATAATGGAAAGATGCTTAGGCCTATTTAGGAGGCATCTAAATGGTACATCTTGCCTGGAGTCAGAAAGACTCGAGTTCAAATCAGAGACTTACTAGCAAGTCACTTAACTGCTGCCTGCCTCAGTTTCTTTAACTGTAAAATTGGAATTGATAGCATCTACTTCCCACAGTTGTTGTGAAGATCAAATAAGACGATATTTGTAAAGCACTCAGCACATGTATGTGTGTATTTCCTTCTCCTCCACTTCGCCTATCTCTCTGAAGACATACCTATCTTTCATGCCGCCCACCTCTCTTGGCTGGTGGAGGAAAATGCTTTGCAAACCATAAAATTCCAGAGAGTCATTATAGTAACATTAGGTAAGGTGTTAGGAGAGTCAGAAAGCTTCGTTAGGTTCATGCGTGGGCAGATGAGAGGAGTATAGATTTGGAGCTGGAAAGAATCTCAGAGGCCAACCTCATAATTTTAGATGAACACCTGAGCTCCAGAAATGACTTGCCTAGGGTCACACAGTTAATCAGTGGCAGAACCAGAGTTTGAACTCAGCAAAACTAGTGCTTTTACCTAGCCTCCCTTAATGGCTGGGTGTCCACTCAGAGCCTTTGTGTCCTGGGGATAATAATACATGCTCAGCCTATATCTTGTTTGGCGAGGGCACATCGTGGCAGAGCCAGGCAACAGCCATGCTGACAGCTTTAGGCGGGGCCTGGAACTGTCACTCGAAGGCACCCAGCCTGTGTGCATTGGTATAGAGGGCTTCTTCACTGGGAATTTCCTGAACCAGCTGCCCCCAAGGTCCATTCCCCCCACACCCTAACACACAAGGCTGCTTGGAGCAAGTGAGATTTAGGTCCTGTGAAGTTGATTTCTAACCATAATGTTCTGTATCAGTCCAAGCTGGCAGGGGTGTGCTGGAGCCAGCTCAAGAGGTCTCTTAGAGCTGATTGTTAAATTTCCAACACGAGCTTTTATACATCGAAAATTGGTAAATGCCACAGACCAGGGCTTGACTTATTAGCTTGTTGATTGTCCAGGTTTAAGAAAGATAGAGAAAATGTCAGTAAATCAAATTAAACTTAAAAGTGTGTCCTGCATACGTGTTGCACCCCCCCACATCCCCCAGAGCTGGTTGTTAAACATTTATCAGCATACCCTTGAATGTGATGCTGTCTATTGGAGAAGATAGATTTCCCTTGAATAATCTTTTCAAGGGCAGAAATTATTTCATTTTCTTGATTTTGTATCCTCGGTGCCTAACATAGTGCCTAGTATATACCAGGTACTTTAGGAAATGCTTGTTGACTAAGTGAATTTGGAGTTAGAGGACCTGGATTTGAAACTCAGCTCTGCCACTTAACCCCTCTGTAATATTAGGCAAGTCACCTAATCTCTTTGGGCCTTAACTGTAAAAATATGGGGGTGGCTGAGGGGGCCTTTAAGCTCTCTTCTCATTCTATATATGTATCCTATTATGATTACCAGTCTTTTTTTCCCTCTTACTTTTTTTTATTTTTTACTTTTTTTTTTCCATATGCTTCTGAGTTGAAAATTTTTCTCCCTTTTTCTCCCCCCCACCCTCCCCAAGACAGCGCACAGTCTGAAATAGGCTTTACATTTACATACCCATTAAACATATTTTCACATTAGTGAAGTTGTAAGTAAAAATTAAAACCAACAGGAGGAACCGCCAGAAAGATGAAACAAAACTCAACAGAAGGTAAAAATAAGTGAGAGCGATTCGACTTCCATAGTTCTTTCTTCGGATGTGGACAGCATTTTCCATCCCGAGGCCTCTGGAGATGTCTTAGATCCTCGTAATGCTGAGAAGGGTTCAGTTTAACATTCTTAGTCATTGCATAACGTGGCTACTATTGTGTACAAAGTCCTCTTGGTTCTGCTCACTTCACTCAGCTATGATTACCACTCTTACTCAATCAGCAGTCATTTTTATTTGTTAGTAGCAGTACTGGTAAGGCAGCTAGGTGGTGCAGCAGAGAGAGCACCAGTCCTGGAGTCAGGAAGACTTGAGTTTTGATGTGACCACAGACACTTACTTACTAGCTTTGTGACCCTAGGCAAGTCACTTAATCTTGTTTGCCTCAGTTTTCACATCTGTAAAATGAGCTGGAGAAGGAAATAGCAAACTGCTCTGGTATCTTTGTCAAGAAAACCCCGAATGGGGTTACAGAGAGTCAGAAACAACTCAAAAGCAACAACAACTAGTACCAGCCTAGGTCAAGGATGCTTCACTTTCACCAGTAAAGCCTATGGATCCCTTCTGAGAATCATGTTTTTAAATAATTGAAGGAAATGCTAAATTGCAGTTAGAGGTTAGTGAAAAGAAAGATGTCTTTTTTTTTTCTCATTCCAAGTTCATCGACCCCCTGAAATCTATGCGTGGACCCCAGTCAGAACCCTTGGTCTAGGGTGGTGATCCATGATCAGGGCCTAGACCAGGGTGGTGGCTGTAGGAATGGGGGTAGAAAGGAGTGTTGTTCCCAAGGTAGAATCTGGGGGACCCAATTTGATTGGCTGTGGGGAATGAAGGGAAAGGTAAGCCTGCTGAGATTTCTAGGCTGAGTGTTGGCCTGGCCAGCTGTCTGGCATCACACAGGTCTGGGATTGGTGCTCAGCTTGAAAGTCTGTATCGCTGGGCCTTCCAGACATAGAGGAGCTCTTCGGTTTTCTAGTTGGGAAAAGGAGGCTTCAAGGGGTTGTGTGGTCTTACCCAAGATCATACAGGGAATCGGTGAGCTTGGAACCCTGGTCTTTACATTTGAAATCCAATCCTCTTTCCTGAAGACCAGGCCAAGGCTTTTCCTCACAAGCCACAGCTGTACCATGGCCCCTGTTCCAGTCACTGGTGGGCACTTCAGGGCAGGGCCATCCAAAGAAGACAGACGAGCTGGATGTTTGTCTCTGTGAAATGGCAAGGTAGTAAGTGAACTACAATTGTGACTTTGGATAAAGTCACTGTCCCCTCTGGTCTTCAGTTTCCACATCTGTAAATTGAGAGTATTGGAGTAGATCAGGGGTTCTACACCTGGGGTCTGTAAACTTGTTTTTTTAAAAAATAGTTTGATACATCATATTTCAATATAATTGGTTTCCTTGTTATCCTATGCATTTTATTTTATGTATTTAAAACATGATTCTGGGCAGCTAGGTGGCGCAGTGGATAGAGCTCCAGCTTTGCAGTCAGGAGGACCTGAGTTCAAATGTGGCCTCAGACACTTGACACTTAATAGCTGTGTGACCCTGGGCAAGTCACTTAACCCCTATTGCCTCACCAAAAAACAACAAAAAAACCCCCAACCAAACAACCAAACAAAAAAACCATGATTCTAAGAGGGGCCCAATAGTCACTAGACTATTAAAGGGGTCATAATATAAAAAGGGTCTCTCTGAGACCCTTTACAACTTTCTATGATTGCCTTCAGATTGCTAGAGGGAGACCCCTCAGGCTTGGGGTGATCACTCGGCCTCAGTTCTTTGCTTTCTCATCGTCTGTCCCCCAACCTTGTGCCAGGTGGACCCCTTCTCTGCTTCCATCATTCTGTTTGTCGGCCGTGCCTGGGATGCCATCACGGACCCCCTGGTAGGATTCTGCATCAGCAAATCTTCCTGGAGTCGCCTGGGACGCCTGATGCCCTGGTAAGAAGAGGCCCTCTTCTCTGTCTTCTCTAGCCCTGCCCCTTCCAGTACTTAAGCTGTTGCCCTTTCCCGCACTGGCTCTCCTCTCATAGGACAGCCTGTGTACTTGTTACCTGTGCTGCTGAACCAAGTTCCAAGGTTACAGGTGTCACAGTGGGGAAGCATGACGCAGGAGCTGGGCCTGGGACTGACCTGGGCTTGACCTAAGCAGCTAAGGGCTGTTGTCACCCCGGACTGGGACCTGCATTACCAATAGTTGGGCTCCCCTCTGCTTATTCACAGGAAGCTCCTGGTCATTCCCCTGTGGTTGGCACAGCAGCCCAGCCAGGATGTCCTCTTCCAAGCAGACTGGGCACAGTGCCTGGGGCTCGGGCCTTACTGATTTCCCTTTCTTGCTTACTTGGCTAGCGTGTAAGGCTTGTCCTTCAAGCATGTACCCCAGCATTATCTGGGGAAGTCTCCTTTGCCCTAAATAATATTTAGATTCAAAGTCTTTCCATTCTTATTCCTGGAGCATATCTGAGCCCCATAAGTGATGGATCCCCAAGTGCGCTGGTCTTTTTCTCCCCAGAGTTCCCTGGCCTCCTGTGATCTGTGGGAAGGGACCCGGAGACCTACTTTGCTAAGCTCCCTTTATAGGCTTAGGGGAACTTTAGGGGTTTAGAGGTCCCTTTCTGCCCAGGTTCTTCTCCTCCTCACCAACCCCACCTGCCCTTTTTGCTAGTTGACCAACAAAGTCCTGGGCAGCTGGGGTTGGTGCCAGGGGGTGAAGGACCTGATGGGCAGCCTTCAGAGTTTTTCCAGCACCCAGGATTTTTCTGAAAGAGTTTTAGTGTGTTGCCTGATTGTTTGAGGAATGGAGGAGGGAGGTGGTAAAGAACAGGGTGTGGGCATCCTGCACCAGGAGATGGCCTGGATAGATGTAGAAAAGTGGAAGGAACATTAGATTTGGCTTCAGAGGTCCTGGGTTCAAATTTTATCTCTGATACTTACCGCCTTGGTTTCTTTCCCTCTATAAAAGAGGGATTTGGACCAGTCACATTTTAGTCCTTTCAAGCTCTAAGAGCCTATGATCCTTGAATGAACAGACTGCTGGATGGGTTGGGGGTGGGGGGCATGGTTCCCTACAGGACATCCTGCCTGGAGCTTGGGGGGGAGGTAACAGGGTGTGCCTCCTGTTTGGTTGGGCTTGCTGGCTCTTGGGACCCCCCACCTAGCCCCTCCTGCCTTCAAAGGTCTGGCCAGCCCTTCCCGCCCCTTGCCTGGCTTCCTTTCCCAAGCAGTTGCCCCAACTCTGGCCAGGTCCTGAGGCGGAGAGTCTTTGATCCAGACCCCCCCAGGATGAGCACACTTTGGGGGCGTTTATTTTTCTTATAGTGGTCATTATTCACCTGCTTCCGCCACCCCCTCCTCCCAGACTTCATGTCCTCCCAGGCTCTGGCCTGGCCTGGGGCTGGGAGGGGGAATCAGGAGGTCTGATTTGGGGCTGAAACTCCCACTTCCACCACCTCCTAGCTGTAGGACCTTAGACAAGTCACTTCCCTGATGGAAGTCTTACTTTACTTTTGTCTAAGAAGAAAGGGTTGTATGCAGGGATCTCATCCCTTCCAGTTCAAGAAATCCCATGATCCTGTGATTTGTCTAGGCTGGGTCTGGGCCAGGGCCAGGGCCGGGCTGGAGCTGGGGAGGGGGGCACTGGTGGAGGGAGATTGGGAAGCCGGCTCTAAGCCGGGTTGGCCACGACTCAGGATGGGCCGGTAAGGAGGAGGTGTGGTTCAGCCCCTAGGCATCTCCCCACCCAGCCCAGCCAATGGTGAAGCAGGGTGTGTCAGGGGCTGGTCCCCAAGCTGGGCGAGGTCAGGGGTTACTCTCAGTCAAACTCCTCTGCCTCTGTGGCTGGGGCTGAAGCTGTGCCAAGCAGCCAGAGGCTCTTGCTGGCTCTAGGCTCTCCATATCCCTGGAAGGAGTCAGGGTGGATGCTTGCAAAAATGGGGGTGGGGTCAGGGTGTGTAGTGAGAGTGAGTGCCAGGCTCAGCCCATGCCCAGGAAGAAGCCTGGGAACTGCCCTGCAGGGCTCTGTCTTGGCGAGCTCTTCTGCTCTGCACTGTTTTCAGGGCCTTGAGGGAAGTATCCCTTGTTTGGCCTAAAGATGGGCTGGCTCCCCCATAAACTGCAAGCTGGGTCCTTTCTGGATGCTTCCCTGGGCACATGTTACCATCTCCCCTCCTCCCCACACTAAGACAATTCTGTAGTGCTTTCAGGTTTGTAGAGGGCTTTCCTGCTCTGCCCCTCATCCAGCTAGGTGCCCCTTCCCTTCCCCTGAATTATCTTAATGTGGTGTACCTGGTGTTTTCTCAGATGGAATAGAGGCTCCCTGAGGGCAGGAACCATTTCCTTTTTATCTTTGTATCCTCAGCACCTAGCACAGTGCATAACAGCAGCCACAGTAATATTAGTGATGGTGGTGGTGGCGGTGGTGGTAGTGATAGTAGTAGTAGTGGTGATGGTGGTGGTGGTTGTGGTAGGATTTGACAGATGGGGAAACAGGCTCAGAGAGAAGTGATTTATCATCACTTAGTTACATTTTTAAAGTAGGAAAAGAGTTATCCTAGACCCTCACTCTAGGCCATTGAAATCCGTGGAAGACTGATGGCCAATGAGCTCGCTCTTAGGGATCCGTGAGTTCCCTGGGGTTTCTGTCTATAGTTAAATTTCCTTGGTTGGCAGGCAGGCTGAGAAGATGGTAGTCTTTTAACCTGCCTTCCTCCTAGCCCCATTGCCCAGCCTCAGCTGTCTTCCTACCATGCTGGGCTGGGGTTTCCCTCTGGTGAGGAGGTAACTGACACCCAACTTTCCCGAGAAGGGCAAGGTTAGCCCCACGCTCTTGAGAACTAGGAAAGGCAGGACCTACCAGTGGGACAAGTCTGCTGCATCTTGGTCTCCCTGCTTCAGGAGGTCTAGGCTGGTTACCTGCCCATCTTTCCTGTTCCCTGGGGGAGAGCAGGGCTGTCCTAGCAATTTGAGGAATCAAATGAGCAGGGCCCAACTTGGAAGAAATCTCCCCCATTTGCACTTTGCTAGGTGGCATCTCTCTCCTGAAATCCTCCCTAAGAAACAAGACTGTACAGGCTTTCTCTGCCACTGCCCATCATCTCAGCTTTAGGAACCCTACATTTCCTGGGGTTCTTCAGTGAGGGGGCTAAGGCCAGTCAGGCTGGGGTATCACGGTTAGATGATTCTGCAGAGAGAGTAGAAAAGAAGCAGTGTCCATCTCCTGATACCAAATCTAGGGCTCTTTCCCCTGCACTGTGCTGTTTCATGGGGTTTTTGTGAGGAACGTGATTTGTAAATCTTCAAGCACTACATGGATACAGCTTCTTGTTTTTTCTAGCACCCAAATTCTTCCCTACCCCCACCCCCAGGATTATGATCTAGCTTAAACCCCATTCCATACTCTAGCCAAGTGCATAATAGGATTTAGAGCTGGAAAGGACCTTAAAAGTTGGCTAGTTCAATCTTCTCCTTTTTACAGATAGGGAAACTGAGGCCTAGACTGGTAAACTGAATTTCCTAAGATCACACAGCTAAGTGATGTCCACACTTGATCTCGCCCTTCTGATCAGGTGTTCTTCCCACTCTTGCTTAGGGCCTCCTCAGCTTGGACTCTGGGATGTTCGGCTTTAGAGAAAAAATGTCCCCTCCCATCCTGGCAAAGGGGGCGTAAGGGAAGACCTCTGTTCTTCTGACTTTTCTCTAGGGACAGAGGGAGGGATGGGTATCTACAGTGCTGAACTTACAGGGTGGTGAGGGAGGTGGATGGAATAAGAGAGATATGGGAGCTTTTCTCTGCCCTCACTCTCCTTACTGAATTCTCTGCTTCCTCCCCCAAGGATAATCTTTTCCACTCCACTGGCTGTGATTGCCTATTTTCTCATCTGGTTCGTGCCTGACTTTCCCAGGAACCAGGCTTTGTGGTACCTGGTCTTCTATTGCCTCTTTGAGACATTGGTGACAGTAAGTCAAAAGTAACCTGAATCCTAGAGACCACCCTACCATTCTCCCCTCTGGGATTCTCTCACTTAGCTGGGCTCAGGGTCAGAGGCAGAAAGTCTTCTAAAGATCATCTGGGTCAAAGCCTTCATTTTGCAGACAAGGAAACTGAGGCCCAGAGAGGAGCAACTGACCCCTGAATCACACAGATCAGCCTGTAGCAGAGGTGAGATTGGAACCCAGGTGTTGGGCTTCCAAACTCTGTGCTCTTTCTGCTACCTGAGCTGTCTTCAGTTGGCATCTTTGGAGAAGCTCCCTTAGGTATTGACATGAGGGAGTGCTGGAGAGAAGCAAGGGGGCTGCCTCGTCCAGTGCAGCTGCCCTCCTGGTCCCTGTTTAGCTTGCATCTGTCTGGGAGATTGGATCACATCAGGAGTATTGGTACCAGTTCTTGGAGCCACATCTTCGAAAGGGTATTGACAAGTTAGGAGGAGAGGAGAGAGCTTGATACTGTGCTATACAAGGACCAGTGCAAGGGACTGGGGATGTTTAGCCTGGATAAGAGAAGGCCTAAGGGGGCATGTGATTACTATAAGAAGACTTCTTACCTGGAAGAGGGATTAGTTACTCTCTTTGGGGCTAGTGGGCATGGCTATGCCCAGTGGAAATTGACTGACCTCAGGTTTTCTCTTTCAGTGTTTCCATGTCCCATACTCGGCACTTACCATGTTTATCAGCACAGAACAGGGTGAACGAGATTCAGCCACAGCATACCGTAAGTCCTTTCTCTCCTTAGCTATATCTCCTATCACTAAGGTCAAGGTCCCTTGATGCAATTCAGTGCCCCTTCCTCAAAGGAGGGGGGGTAGGCTAGCTCAGATCTGCCCCTCCCAAGTCCATCTCACCCAGCTCCCTGCTTTTCCCTAGGGTGGAGCGGACAATATGAGCTCTGTCTTAGCCTTGTCCTTTGACCTGTGGGGTTTCCTTTTCCAGGATGGGCCTTAATAACCACCTGCTTTTTTTTTAACCACCAGGGATGACTGTAGAAGTGCTTGGTACAGTGCTGGGCACTGCCATTCAGGGGCAAATTGTGGGCAAAGTGGACACTCCCTGTATTCAAGATCCCGACATAATCATGGAAGAAGTGAATCAGACACAGGCTACCACCTCTCTGAATGATACGGTGAGACCCCCCGAGGCTCTCCCAGGACCTGAGACTGAGCTTGCGACCCCAGGTGTTAGGGGTCTCAACGGAACTGACAATAATCATAGCTCACCAGTGTTGTTGTTCAGTCCATTTCAGTCATATGCAACTCTTCATGACCCCATTTGGGGTTTTCTTGACAAAGATAGTGGGGTGGTTTGTCATTTCCTTCTCCAACTCATTTTACAGATGAGGAAACTGAGGCAAACAGAGGTTCAGTGACTTGCGCAGGGTCTCACAGCTAGTAAGTGTCTGAGGCCAGATTTGAACTCAGGAAGATGAGTCTTCTTGACTCTAGGCCCAGCACTCTATCCACCGTGTCACCTAGCTTACCTGTAGTATACTGCTTTATGGTTACAAAGCCAACTTTGGGAGGAGGAGTGGTAGTGGCAAAGGATTGTCATCCCCATTTTACAGATGAGGAAACTGAGGCCTGGAGTAGTGAAATGCTACCTGCCCAAAATCACACACCTGGGAAAATAGGATCATGGGCTTTAGAGCTAAAAGGGACCTTAGAGATCATCTAGTCCAACCCCATCATCCTTCAGAGGGGACAAGTGAGATTAAATGACTTATCTAAGGTCTCAGTTTTTTATTTATATACATATTATATGCTCCAAATGTAGTGCTCATTCTCCTACACTGTCCTGCTGCCAACTAGAAAGAGAAGTTTACCTCAAAGATAGTCCCTGCCCTCAGGAAGCTTCCTACAGTCTAAGGGGGACACAAACCAGGGGAGGATTAGGCAGGACACAGCACACAGGAGGCAGGCACATGGTGGTGAAGTCTGGGAATGCAGAGTCAGGAGGGGGGATGGAAATATCAGTGGCCTGTGCCCCTCCCCACAATGGAGACCACCAGGATGCAGGAGCTTACCAATGGCAGAAGGCGGCCAACATGGCCAGGATGCTCCAGGCTGGGAACTTTAGTCAGAGCTTGGAGCAGGATTAGGATGGCCCCTTGTTCCAGATGAGAAGGGATTCCTGATTAAATTGCTCTTGGGGATTCCTGGAATTTCTTTCAATTCTTTGATTTCTTCTAGTTCTAGTTTATTATGGTTCTGCTGAAGTAGCAGCCCATTGTTCAAACCATTGTTGAAATTCTCCTGATTCCCCCTCTCCTTCTCCAGTCACTCCATTCTCCTTCCTTTCCCCCCTTCCTTCTTCTCCCTCTCCCTATCTCTTCTTCTCCCTCTTCTCCTTCCCTCCCCCTCTCCCTCCTTCTTCCTTTCCTTCTCCTTTCCTCTCCCTCTCTCCCTCCCTCTCTCTGCTTCATTCAGCCCCTCTGCTTCCCTCTCCCTCTCCTCCTTTCCCTCTCCCCTTCATCTCTCCCTTTCCCTCCCTCCCTCTTCTCCCTCTCCCCTTCACCCATCCTTTTCTCTCCCTCTCCTCCTCTCCCTTCCTCCCCCTCCCCTTGTTCTTCTTCTCTCTCCCTCTCCCTCCGTCTCCCCCTCCTTTCTTCCTCTCCTCCCCCTCCCTCCCTCTTCCCTTCATCTCTTTCCCTCCCCCCCTTTCTCTCTCCCCCTCCATCTTTCATTTTTTTTGTGCTTCCATGATTTCCTGGTCCAACTCTCCCATACAGCCTTCTCCATTCCCCCTTTCTCTATACCCTGCCTCCAGAATTTAACATCCTTTGCATGGCTTGGAGGGGGCTGATCTGCCCAGGAGCCTGCCTCACCTCCACCATGTTTCCTCTCCTCTACAGAAGAATGCCTACATGCTGGCTGCTGGGGTCATCGCCTCCATCTATGTCCTCTGTGCTGTCATCTTGTCCCTGGGTGTGCAGGAGCACAGAGGTGAGGGGTTTGGGCTGTGGAGAGAGGGGAAGCAGAGACACCAACCAGGGATGAAGGGATGAAAATGTGGTGCCTGGGGCCCTTGATCACTGGCAGCCTGGGGATTGAACCCATATGAAACTAATGACCTAGTCCCAGCCTCTGCCATTAATTCTCATGTGACCATGGGCCAGTCTCCTCCCTTTTCTTGGGCTCAGGTCCCACTACTTATAAATGTAGAGAGTTGGATGAGAAGGTATCTAAGATCCAGCCCTGGCTTTGGAATTAACTTGCTGACCCTGGGCTAGTCACTTCTCCCCTGGGCCTCAGTTTCCTCATCTCTAAAATGAGGCAATTGGATTAAATGACCTAAGAGCACTTCTAGCTCTAAATCTTAGGATCTTTCTAGGTCTAAAGCTCTAGAATCTTAGGAGATAACCCTCCTTCATCTTCTCTCCCACTGGTACCCAGCAGAGATTCTCACTCCTCCCCATTTCCCAAGGATTGAGCCCCTCCTCTGGCCTTGTTATTCCCTTCCCATGGCTTCTAGGGCCCCGGAACTTGGAGATCAGAGCTTTAAAAATGGTTCCCCTAAAGTCCTCCCTCTGTCCTGGGCTTGGCCCAGGTACTTCTACTAGAGGTGTGGGTTACTGGTGCTGCCTAGGCAGTTGTACAAAGAAAAGGGCCTCTTTCCCCCTCAGGCAAGGGAGGAGAAAGGAAGCCTGGGCCTCAAGGGCAGGTACTGCCAGAACCTTGGCTGGGGGCCATCTGGGCTTGGGGCTGCGTGGATAGGGGCTGAGGCCTTTGGCCTTTGGATGAGGAGAGTGGAGGCCTGGGGCTTGTTGTTTATCCCCCTCTTTGGCCCACAGAACCCTGTGAGAAGAAGCAGGAGCAGCCCCCTTCTTTTTTCCGAGGGCTCCGGCTGGTCATGAACCATGGCCCCTATATCAAACTCATCGCAGGCTTCTTGTTCACCTCTTTAGCCTTCATGGTAAGACTATGGGAGGAGTGACGGAGTGACGGAGTGATGGAGGGAGGGAAGGAGGAGTGACCAGAACAGCATCCCCACTCCCTTCCCCTACCCCATCCTGGGCCACTCTAGGAGGAACCAGGAGAATTGGAGCTCAGGATGCTCAGAACCCTGGTGGGAGGGGTGGGGTGGGGAGCCTCATGGGTGAGGGAGTGGCATTAGGAGGGGAATGGCTGGCGGCTCAAGGTTTCCTTCTCTCCCATACCAGCTGGTAGAAGGAAACTTCGCTTTGTTCTGCACCTATACCCTGGGCTTCCGGAATGAGTTTCAGAATCTACTCCTGGCCATCATGGTAGGTCCTACACACAGGGGTGCTGCAGGGAGAGCCAGGCCAGGACTCTGAGGGAGGGGAGTGGGGAGGAGGAGAGCTGGCTGTGACTGGTGAGCAGGCCTGCAGGGGGAGGGGGCCAGGGGCCCAGAGGACTAGAGAACAGGGAATTCTTTATTCCTGCCTCTAGCAGGCAGGCAGAGGTGGGAATGGGAAAACCACACTCTGTGTGTGTGTGTGTGTGTGTGTGTGTGGTGTGTGTGTGTGTGTGTGTGTGTACGCGCGCGCGTACATACATCTATGTTCTAGGGCCACCGATTGGACTGGAGGAGACACCTAGGCATAGGCACCCAGCTGTATTTACATAATTGCTCTTGTTTCTGTAGTACCTTATGAAAAGTTGTATTTGTTTTCTCGTGATATCCCTGTGAGGTCATGTGTATAGGTGGTGCTAAACCGTTTTATGACCAGAGAAATAGAGGCTAAGAAGAGGGGGCATCAGGCCCTGCCAGAGCTGACTCTGTAGCCCAGGTCTCACTACCCCAGGGCTCTGCCCCCAGGCATATGCACTCATGAACTGGACCCCAACACTCTTGGGGGCTATGAAGATGCACCCTCTTGGTAGGGGGTGAGGAGGGAGCTTATAGGCAACCATATCTGAGTTCACAGGACAAATGTAGATTCTTGGCTAAATTTACTAGATCATACAGTGAGGGTGAATGACTTTATTCCCTCCCCTAACCCCAGTCTGTTTCCTCTGTAAAATTCAGATTCAAGGAGTTTATAACCAGGCCTGAGTACTGGACTCAGTCAGGAGAGACCTGGGTTTGAATTCTGGCTCTGACAGTTATTGGCTCAGTGGTGTTAGGCCAGTCCTTTCCCCGATTTGGGCCTCAGTTTTCTCATCTGTAAAATGGTACTCATAGTACCTACCTCACACAAGGGATTCTGAACTATAAAGTGCTGCTCTAGGAAAGTGAACTGGGATTACTGTTAGCCTGTACTCTGCCCCACTTCTCCCAAATCATTGGAGGTCCCAGCTCTCTCCCGACCTTTCATTCCTTACCCAAAAGAGCATGTGTGTCTGTCAGATGTGTGGCCTAAGGGCAGCTAGCTGGCTCAGTGGATAGCACTCTGGCCTTGGAGTGAGGAGGACCTGAGTTCAAATCTGGCCTCAGACACGTGACACTTACTAGGTGTGTGACCCTGGGCAAGTCACTTAATCCTATAGCCTAGTGGAAAAAACCCAAACAAAGATGTGTGGCCTTCTGGCTCAGGAGCCACACTTGGCTGACCCTGCATCTGTCTTTCCCCCTGCCCCCAGCTCTCAGCCACCCTTACCATCCCCATCTGGCAATGGTTCCTAACTCGGTTTGGGAAGAAGACGGCTGTGTACCTTGGGATCTCGGTAAGTGAGAGAGAGGCAGTGATGGAAGGCCAGATGTATGAAGGGGAGCAGAGCAGGCTTCCCCGGGGGAGGTGGGCTTTAAAGGGCAGGAGAGAGGACATTGCAGGCCTGGGGAGCAGAATGTGCTAAAGTGCGGAGTGGGGGGGAGATGCTGGGGGGTGGGGAGGGAAGGGGCTGTACTTACTGACCCTGGACTCCCCACCCCACAGTCTGCTCTGCCCTTCCTCATCTTGGTTGCCCTGATGGAGAGTAACCTGATTGTCACCTATGTGGTGGCAGTGGCTGCTGGCATCAGTGTCGCTGCTGCCTTCCTCCTGCCTTGGTGAGTCAGAATTCTAGGGTGCTTCCAAAGAAGGCCAGTTAATGTAACTGTGTGGCCTTCAGCAAATCACTGAACCTCTCTGGGTCTCAGTTTCTACCTCAATAAAATGGGAGTTTAGATTAGATGCTCTCTAAGGATCCTTCCAGTTCTAAATCTGTATACCAATGATTGGTCTACCTATCGCCATGAGCCTTTGCTTCCTTACCTGTGACGTGGGAGGGAGGAGATGGAGTCATGGCCCATAACCCTCTGATGTCCCTTCCAACTCTAAATGTATGATCCTCTGATTCTCTGAGTCTTAACTGCATTATGTGTAAAATGAGAGGTCTTCAAAGGTGATATTAAGTTGGATGGTGGGTAAGGTGTGGCACATATAGATGTCCATATCTAACATTCTGTGAATTTGTAACACCTGATACCTGAAGATGAAAAGAGAGAGAGTGTATTCTGTCCCCATCCAGCTCCACACCTCCCCCCCTGCAAAAAAAAAAAGTCTTTTTCTCCTTCTGTGGGCCTCATTTTTCTTTTCTGTAAAATAAAAGGTCTAGACTAGATACAGTGAAAAAATTGCTGGACTCTGGAGACCTGAGTTGCCACTTACTGGCCATGTAAGCTTGGGCGAAGTCACTCCCTGGGCCTCAGATTGCATGCTCTGCAGCATGGAGGTCTTACAGTGTTGCTAGAAGTTATCTGTAAACCTCATGTTGATGTAGAAATAGGAGTCATCGCTGTTCTCACTACTGTCCTCGTCCTAGGTCCATGCTGCCTGATGTGATCGACGACTTCCATCTGAAGCACCCCGGTGCCAGGGGACATGAGCCCATCTTCTTTTCCTTCTACGTCTTCTTCACCAAATTTGCCTCTGGTGTCTCCCTGGGCATCTCCACTCTCAGCCTCGAGTGAGTGAGTGAGTCCCTGGGGTGAACAACTTAAGGCTCCCTTCCTTGGGGAGGGGAGTTTGGAGGCCAGAAGAGCTCTCAGCATTTACCCTTGCCCCTACCCTTCTCCAGCTTTGCAGGCTATCTGACGAGGGGCTGCTCCCAGCCGGAGGCCGTCAAGTTCACTCTGAAGATTCTGGTGACCGTTGTCCCCATCGGCCTCATCCTTTTGGGTCTGTTTCTCTTCAAGCTGTATCCCATTGACGAGGAGAAACGTCGGGAGAACAAGAAGGCCCTGCAGGTGATCAGGTAAGAGCCTGCGCTGGGTTGACCATGGGCAGCCACGGGCAGCTGGGTGAGCAGGGAGGGTAGGGGGAGGCTGAAAAACAAGTCTAAAGAGAAGAATGACATCCCTTGTTCTGGTACTTTTAAGTTTGCTCACAAAATCCCTTTGAGGTTAGTAGTTGTAAGGATCCTTATCCCTATTTTACAGATGGGAAAATTGAGGTTCAAAAAGGGAAAATGGCTTGATCCTGCCTACATAGCTTTTAAGAGCCAGAATCAGGGTTTGAACCCAGTTCTCTTGATTCCAATTCCAAAGCCCTTTCTGCTAAACCAGGGGTGGGGAATCTGTAGCCTCGAGGTCACATGTAGCCTTCTAGGTCCTTGAGTGCTGTCTTTTGACTGAGTCCACAATTTACAGAACAAATCCTTTTATTGAGGGGATTTGTTCTGTGAAGTTGGATTAGGTCAAAAGGCCACACTTGAGGACCTAGAGGGCATGTGGCCTCGAGGCCACTGCTTACCCACTCCTGTGCTAAACCATTCTGTTTTGCCATTCACACCAATAATTCAACCAATATTTCTTTTTAAATTTTGTCTGTCTTTTATTTTTACATCACTCCATTCCTTTAATACATCCCTCACCAGAAAGAAAAGCCTTGTTTTTGTTCAGTCTTTTCAGTCATGTCCAACTCTTTGTGACCCCATTTGGGGTTTTCTTGATAGAGATACTGGAGTGGTTTGCCATTGCCTTCTCCAGCTCATTTTACAGATGAGGATACTGAGATAAGCAGGGTTAAGTGACTTGCCCAAGGTCACATAGCTAGTAAGTGTCTGAGGTCAAATTCATTCCGGTCTTCCTGACTCTAAGCCCTGGTGCTCAATCCACTGTACCACCTAGCTGCCCTAGAAGCCTTGTCACAAGAGTGAAAAAAGAGAGAGAACTAAAAAGCAGTTTAGAAAAACTAACCGATATATCAACTGACTCTGACAATATATGCCGTATTATGTACCCATAGTCCCCCACCTCTGCGGGGGGGGTGGGTGCACTGCAGTTTCATCTTCTTCAGGACCAAGCTTATTCATAATGATTACATATTTAGCGTGGAAAGGTTTTTTTTGTTCTTGTTATCTCCAGTCATATTGTTACAGGCTTTTATGTATACATTGTTTTCCCAGTTCTGCTGATTTCAGTTTGTATCAGTTCAAGTCTTCCCATGCTCAACAAAACCTGATACTTATTGACTGCTTTGCCAAGCATTGAAGAGCTACCAAATTTAGATGCATGGCTCTGGGCCTCATGGAGATTACAACCTGGTGTGTGGATAAGACACCAGTAAGCTAATTGTACTATATACAGTATCACATGATAAAGTCCATTAGCAAGGTACTGAGGGATATGGGAGATGTGAGGAGAACAGTCCTGAAGTGCCGAGGGAAATCCAGGCAGTCTTCCTGGAGGAGGTAGCACTTGAATTAGGCTCAAAGGAATGTCTGGAAACCAGCAGATGAAGAGGGATAGGAGGACATTCTAGGTGCAGAGAACTGAGTGAACAAAGAAGATACTGAAGCATCTGAGTGCTGGGCACTGAAGGGATAAAAAGTAGCTGCATCTGGCTGGAGTAGAGAGTGTGGACCGGGGAGAGTAGTATGACCCTAGGCTGGAGAAGGAGGGCAGTGTCAGATTGTAGCAGGCCTCCGGTGCCAGACAGAGCCACACACATCCTCCACACACACAGATGCTTGCTGAGTCTTGTCTCCTAGGCACAGGGAACATCCCTTCCTTGGCCTCATATGTCTGGGGTCAGCCTGGGTAGTAGTAGATGGCCAGTCCTCATGGCCAAGAACATAGCTCTTGGAAGGAGAGGTGGGGGCAGGGGTACTGGGGACATTTTCTATGATTCCTCACCTCACTGTCCTCTCCTGGCCTATACAGGGAAGAAGCAGGAAGCTCGGGCTGCTCTGACACGGACTCTACAGAATTGGCCAGCATCCTCTAGGAGGACATGATGCAGCCCGGAGGCCCACATCCTGCTCCTTAGGCTTCACTGAGAAGCCCGATCGGCCCAGGCCAAGAGCATGAACTCAGGGCCGAAAATCGGGTCCATCTGTAACCAGGCCACCCTAGGGGGTCATCTGGTCTCTAGGCCCCCAGGGGCCTCTAAAACACAAGGAGTGAACACTTCAGAGACTACTGAACGCACTTGCTGCTCACCTGCACTCCCAAAGCTGGGCTCTCTCTCCAAAGGAAAGAGGCCCCCAGCCAGACTGACCAGCCCCAGCGGGGCTGTGACTGCAACTACCCAGTGACCGATCCTGTCCTGGGACCCCAGACACTAATGTAGACAGAAGTTTTATAAAGAACCTAATTAATAACTTAATGACTGTGTACATATGAAATGTGCTCCTGTTTGTATATGTCTGTTTGGAAAACTAGCTGCCTCAGTGCTATTAATATTATTAATTTACATAAAAAAAGTTGGATAAATGGTAACAGATTTTCAGACTTGCTTCTTTTGGTGTTTTAGAATTTGTTTTCATACCACACTGTATAACAGAGCGTGGATTCTGGGGTGTGTGTTTGTGTGTGAAAGAGAGAGAGACAGAGACAGAGGGAGAGGGAGAGGGAGGGAAGGAGAGAGGGGGAGAGAGAGAGAGAGAGAGAGAGAGAGAGAGAGAGAGAGAGAGAGAGAGAGAGAGAGAGAGAGAGAGAGAGAGGGAGAGAGAGGGAGGGAGGGAGGGAGGGAGGGAGGGAGGGAGAGAGCTTCAGTCTGCGACACTGTATCAAATAGCTTTGTTCCGGGACCTCTGTGTGCCTGTGACTGAGCCTTGGTTTTTTTCACAAGTCTAAGAAGGTCTTTGGCCATATCTCAGATCCGCATCCTGAGAGGAGCCTCAAACCTCTCTGATTTGTTGTCAGGTCTTCACAGCTTCCTCCAGGCCCCTCAGCAGCCAGCCCTGCTCATCTCCTCTTCTTCTGGCCCTTACAGAATGGTCCGAGCTGACAGAGCCCCAAGGCCTCCACGACTCCTTCCCTGGAGGACAGGCAGCTGCTTTTTCTTCAGGGGTGAAATTCCTCTTCTACCTGGTTTTCACCCTAAGGTTCTTTGTTGTGGTTTTTAAGGACACTTCATTCTTTCTGATTACCTGGAGTATGGAGAGGTCTCCCTGAAGCCCCTTATCTTCTTTGCTAGAAGTAGACCTGCTTACACTTTGTGAATAGATACTTGGGGGTCTGGCTGTGACAAAAAATGCAAATGCAAACATTGCATTCGGTGCCTGATGTCTCTGCCAAATTATGAATTATTCCTGCTCTCCGTACTTAATGAGAGTGAGGTCTGCAGTCCTGATTCTTCTTGTTAGTGGCTCACCTAGAGAACTGCTGGGGTAAACTTTTTTTTCCTTTTTAAATGTCTTATTCATTTCTCTATCAGTTACTTCCCAGTGACTTCCCCTCCCTACCCTTACCCTGTCCCCCATCCCCTGGAATCTGCCCAGTCAAGAAAAACAAGCTACTAGCCCTGTCTGACAATGTAGGCCTCAATTCACACCTATGGTCCACCATCTCTTTGCCAAGAGGAGGGAAACACAATCCCCTCCACCCTTTGAAGTCACAATTGGTCATTGACGTGATTAGACTGTTATTTTTCTTTAGATTGGGGTGGTCCATAGAACGCTAAAGCTGGGAGGGCCCTTAGAACACAATGTCAGAGCTGAGAGGGCCCTTAGAACACAAGTCAGAGCTGAGAGGGTCCTTAGAACATGGAATGTCAGAGCTGGAGGGGCCTTAGAACACAGAATGTCAGAGCTGGGAGGGGCCTAGGACACAGAATGTCAGAGCTGGGAAGACCCTCCGAAAAAAATGCTAGAGTTTGGAAGGACCTTACAGACCATCCCGCTTATTCAACAGATGGCAAATGAGAAGGAAACAGATCCCTAGAGCTCATGCTGTAGTCACTGCTTTCATATCCCTACAGGTCCATGCCTGTAGGCCTCCCTCATCCAGAACCTGCGTGGACCTGTCCGCAGATGGGCTCATATTCAGGTTCAATCTGGACTCTCATTCCTCATGTAGCTGGAATGTCTGCCATCACATCATGTAGCTACCCAGGGATAGTTCTGAGTGGTTAAGTCTCAGAGAGGCAGGTGGTGGTCAGTCAGGGAGGAAAGAAGCTGCAAAGTAGAGTAGGTAGTGAACTCTCTGTCACTGGTGGTGTTCAAGTAGAAGCTGGATGACTGCTTGTCAGGGATATTATAGAGGGGAGTTTGGTCCGGGTGTGGGTTGGCTGCATGCCCTCTAAGTTCCACTGCAGCTTTGGCAGTCTGTGGTTCAATGGTCAACCCTCAGAGGGATCAGGTTGATGAAATCAGTCTTTGGGGTGTATTTCCCAACCTTTATACTATAGAGGAGCCAGAATCTGACCTCAGAACATCTCTGGGTAAGGCAGAGAGCCTCCCCACCAGGGCCCTGCATATGCCCAGGGGGAAGCTGAGTCAGGGAAGCTTATAGACCCAGTATGAGTATAAGAGAATGAAGAATGGCAGTTTTTAGGTAAGATGCCTGCTTCTTCTGGAGAGAAACTTCAATTACTGCCAGGACTGGGAAGAGCTGCTAGTGACCATTACAAGAAAGAGAGTCAGATCAGGGCCTGGAGCCAGGGGCTCCCGACAGCACCATGGCAAAGCTAGTTTGGGGAATTAAGTTCCTTTGGGGGCCAGCAGGATACCAGGAGGGCCTGATGGTCCTGTTGGTTCCATGGGACATGTCTCTCAAGAGACTACTCGGTGCCTCATGTATAGGAGGTGATTAATAGATGTTTGCCATGTTGAACCAAAGTTGGACCAGGTGAACCTGGCTCCCAGAACACCCAGCCCAACTCACCTTGGCTTTTGGGTTGCTGACTGTGTTTTGACTCATGCCTTCCTTCTCTGCAACATCTCTTCCATCATCCCCCCCCCCAACTTTGTTCTTTGGGCCACCATCCTTGTTCAGGCCTGCCTTAACTATTACAACAGCGTCCTGACAGGTACGGTCTTTCTAACTTTACTCTCTTCCTCCTCAAATCCATCTTTCATAAGCTGCCAGAGTAATCTTTCTCATGTCATTCCTTTGCTCAAAAATCTTCAGTGGCTATTACCTAATATGTAACATTCAAATTCCTTTGTCTGGTGTTCAATGCCCTCCACAATGTGGTTCCCATCTGCTTGCTCACTACCTTTCCAGCTTCATCTCAGCTTGGTGTAGTGGGTTTGAACTCAGAGGACCTGGTTCCAAATTCTGGCTTTGCCATTTATTGATTGTTTGATCTTGGAAAAGTTACTAATACTGTTGGGGCCTTAGTTTCCCAATATGTAAAATTAGGAGGTTGAAATGGACTATCTCTATGATTTCTTCCAGATATAAATCTTATGCTCCTGGGAGTCTATTACCCTCTAAATTCTCTGTCCTCCACCTTGAAAACATCATGTATTCTTCAGCCTCCTTGCCTTTGCTCATACTGGGCATGGAACGTCTTCCAGTTGGTTTCTCCTTCATTCTTTTTTTGTTTGTTTGTTTTTAGGCAATTGGGGTTAAGTGACTTGCCCAGGGTCACACAGCTAGTAAGTGTCAAGTGTTTGGTCTGAGGCCGGATTTGAACTCAGGTCCTCCTGACTTCAGGGCCAGTGCTCTATTCTCTGTGCCACCTAGCTGCCCCTTCTCCTTCATTCTTTAAAACCCAACTCAAATGCCACCTTTTCCAGAAAGTCTTTCACCTCCTTCCTCCCCATTCCCTCAGCAGTAATGACTTCTCTCTTCAGGTATCACATAGTCTTTTTCCATTTCTCTAATGCCCTTGTTATATAATATTGTATGTTATTACTATCTACATCTTTAACTTATTTTAATGGGCTGTGATCCAGCAGGCTGAGGACCCCATCTTACCTAAACTCCTACCATCAAGCTTGTGCTTTGCACACAGTAGGTTCTTAATCGTGTTTGGTGATACGATGGATATGTCTCAGAGCTAAGAATCCCTCCGGAGAGGCAAGGGAAAGTCTCAAGGAGAGAGGAGAAGAAGAGTTTGCTGGTGGAAAGAGCTTTGGAAACAAGGATGAGTCCTGCCCCTGTAATTTACAAACAGGGGGACCTAGCTCAAGCGACTTATCCTCAACAAGGTTCAGTTTTCTCTTTTAGAAAATGGGGATCATAATCCTAATCCAGTATTGTTGTCAGTATCAGGCTTAGCAATAGACAGAAAGCATTTGGCAAACTGTAAAGTATTATGGAAATCTCTCCTTGGCACCAAGTTTCTTCAACCCGAAGAGGAGTATACCTAATCATTGCACCACACTGTCAGACCTTTCAACAGCTCCCCAAGCAAATAGACATATCCTGGACCACTCCTACCTACTTGTCCCCTGCTACTGACATCCCTGGCTTCTTTTAAGTTCCAACTAAAAACTTACCTTTGACAGGAAGCCTTTCTTAACTCTAGTGCCTTTCCTCTGTTAATTATTTCCTATTTATCCCTTGTATACCTTATTTTGAATATATTTCTTTGCATCTTTTCTCCCCCATTAGATTATGTGTTCTTTGAGGGCCTGGACTATCTTTTGCCTCTTTTTGTATCCCCAGAACTTAGCACAATGCCTGACACATTATTGTTGTTCAGTTGTTCAGTTGTGTCTGATTGTATGTGACTGCATGGACACAATTGTCCATGGGGATTTCTTGGCAAAGATACTGGAGTGGTTTGCCATTTTCATCTCCTGTGTGTCCCCATTTTACAGATGAGGAACTGAGGCAAATAGAGGTTAAGGGACTTGCCCTGGATCACGTAGCTAGTGTCTGTGATCTGATTTGAACTCAGATCAGGTGCTCTGTCCACTGCCCCACCTAACTGCCCCACCTGACACATTGTAGATGCTTAATAAATGTTTATTAATTGATTCTCTGCTGCTTCAGGGCATGGCCACCTGTTCTGCAGAAGTGACAGCCTCTATACACCCACAATAAACCCTCATGACCTTGGGCAACTCCCAAATTCTTTGGGTCTCAGTTTTTTCATTTGCAAAATGGGAGAGTCAGAACCAGAGCCTTCACCAACATCCTTCTCTAATATCTCCTCTTGGAACAAAGGTGACCATGAATTCTTGAAGGCTATTCTATTTTCAAAAGTCTTATTTTTATTGAGATGCCCAAGTAGTGCAGCAGATAGAACACTGTATCTCAAATCAGGGAGACCCAAGTTCAAATGGGGCCTCAGACACTTACTAGCTGAGTAATCTTGGGCAAGTCATTTAACTCTGTTTGCCTCAGTTTCCTCATCTGTAAAATGAGCTGGAGAAGGAAATGGCAAACCACTCCAGTATCTTTGCCAAGACCCCCAAAAGGGATCACGAAGGGTCAGATACAACTGAAAAATATCCAAACAATAACAATAAAATGAGGGGGGAAAGCTTAGAGAAACCAATCAGCACATATACTCTCTGACAGTATGTGCCATAGTCTTCCACCTTCTCTAAGAG